TTGCAAAGGTGTCACTTTCACCACCCGGGGCCTTAATTGTCGTCACTCCGGCCTTGGGAAGTGTGCAGGCAGCAATTCACACAGCACTGAGAGCTGCTCATGCTCTGGCTGCCCTTTCTGGGATCAGCTTCCCTGCAGCAGCCCCTCCCGAGTTGCCCCCCAGGCCAGGTGGACTATGATGGATTCAGCATCCCTCCCTCCCTCTTACCCAGCAGCCAAAAATGCAATGTGGGAAACTGAAGAAAGGCCCTTCCCAATAGAGACCCTCTGGCAGGGGCCTCTCCTCCCCCCACCCCCTCCTCCTGAGGCCCAGGAGCCATTGCCCCTCCAGTTGCCTGGGGGTGTGCGTCTTCTTGGTGCTGCCTTCCCAAGCCTTTATAGTTGGGATTCTCCCGCAATTCATCCTCTTCACAAGCTTTTTTCATTAACTCGGGGGGGGGGGGTCTTTGATTAGTCACAGACACTAATCGGAGACAAGAATATGAGGACTGAATGTGGGTTTTTTTTCTCCTTAATAATTCTTTCTTCTTTCAGCTTGTATCTTGCCTTACTTGGCCTCTCTTTTACCAAGAGATTTTCTCTTTCATCTTTGTCCCTCATGTGAGAAATGCTCCCAAATGTGCCCCAGGAGCTCAGTGGAAGCCCCACAAATGTTTTCTGGGGGACCCAGGGATCATGGCAGCCACACACCTCCACCTGTCTCTTCCACTGGTCCCCCAGCTCTTCTCCATCCCTTCTGCCCTCTCCTGTTTGCCTGAATTCAGTCGGTGGTCCCTCGGCAGGGTCTGCAGGCGACCTCAGCGCTTCAGCTCTCCTGGATCTCGCTCACTCGCAGCCCCGAGTTTGCTCTCCTCTTTCCCCTGAGAGTTTTCTGCCCTCTTCTTTGACCTGGTCAAGCTCCCTTGGCCAAACTCACTGCTCCAATTCTTTTGACTGCTTCAGGCAGGCACACAATCCGGCCCTCTCCTCCGCAGAGGGCCTGGGCTACGACTGCAAAGCCCTGCCTGTTCAGAGAGGGATCCTTGCCTTTCACTGGTGTCCTACCAGATTCACCAAGAGTGAGCTGCTCCCCACGAAGAAAAGAAGGGGCCAGGCCACCCTCTGACTCTTGCCCCCATCATCCCACTGGGAACTCCTCTTCTCCGTTAGCTTCCTAATCCGTGTGACAAGGATGGCTTCCCATTCTCTCCCCCAGAATAAAATTCCAGATCTCGGGAGTGCAAGGGTAGCCTCTCGGCCTTTGCACTCCCACCAAGGTTGCCCCGTTGCAGCCCTGCTCTCCCTGCAGTTCCAGGCCCACAACCAGGAAGGACGGCTCTTGCGAAGCACTTCTCACCGGTCCACCTCTTAATAACCTGAAGGGCTCAATCAGTGGAAGACCCTCAGTGGCGATTTCAGAAGCTGTGAGGAAGAGAAAAGGCTGCATTTCACTTTTCCTCCCCTCGCGGTGGCAGCTCTTCTTTCCCAAGGCTGGGAAACGTGAGGAGGGAAAGATTTCCCAGGCCTGGGTGTAAAAAAGCCCCACCCTTGTCTAAACACTGAGTGACTGGTGTGGAGACCCCATCTCAAGTCTGCAGTTCATGAGGCAGGCCAGGTGTGAAGAGAGGGCAGCAGCAGCCTCTAGGCAGCCCATGCGGTGTTGCTGCTTCCTTGGGCTGAGGGAGCACAAGCCTCGTGCCCGCCCCCCAAGGCAGCAAGTCCTCCTGGGATTCTCCTGCGGAGACCGCCTGCCTACCCACCCTCACTGGAGCTCATCTCATTATCACCCCTCAGATATGGCAGCCCCTTCAAAGCCCCAGAGCTCCCCCCATAAGCCCAACCCTTCTTCACCAGAGCGGGGGGGAGGGATTATCAATGGGGTGAGGCCAGGGGTGAAATGCTCCCGGTTTGGACCAGATCGCCTGATCCGGTAGCGATGGCGGCGGGTGGTTCAGAGAACTGGTAGCAAAAATCCCTGCCTCCCCCCCATGCCCAGCTGAGCCGCACAATCATCAGAGGCTTTTTTTTTTTACTTTTAAAAGCATTTTTTCTACAACTTCTTCCGATGAAAAAATACTTTTAAAGGTAAAAAAAAAAAGCCTCTGATGATCGCGTGGCTCAGCAGGGATCATCAGAGGCTTTTTAAAGCATTTTTTTCTGCAACCTCTTGGCTGAAGAGGTGGTTAAAAATATGCTTTGAAAAGTCTCTGATGATCCCAGCTGAGTTCCCTGATCAGCAGAGGCTTTTCAAAGCATTAGAAAAAATGATTTGAAAAGTTTTTTTTTTTAAAAGTCGGCCACGTCCACCCAGTCACATTCCCCCCCCCCACCAAGCCACACCCACAGAACCGGTAGTAACAGATTTTACATTTCACTCTTGGGTGAGGCCCAGTGGTGGGATTCACATAATTTAACAACCAGTTCTCTGCCCTAATGATTTCTTCCAGCAACCAGTTCACCAAACGGCTCAGAAAATTAACAACCGGTTCTCCAGAAGTGGTGCGAACTGGCTGAATCCCACCACTGGTGAGGCCCTTCAGAGTGGGGTGTCTCACACACCCAGCAGCCGGATCTGAAAGCCTCTGCTCCCTCAGAGGACAACCGATGCCATGGAGCTCTCCGGCCAATTGACCACCCAATTCTGAGCTAGCTCAGAGCCTGACCTCAGGAATGTAAGAAGGTCGTAGGTCGAGTTTCCTCTTATCTAAGGCACCAAGGAAGAGACCTCCATACCGGTTATTTTTACAACATACATGTAGAAAAGAGCACACCAGGCTAATCCTGGGGGAAGGACAACGGCAGCCATTCTTCCACCCCCTTTCCAGGCGGCTGGAATCGGAGTAGCCCGGGGTCCCCTAAGCCTCCGGCATGTGCCGGGAATTCGAGAGCGGCCCCGGGGTCGGGAGAGCAAGGGGGCTGCCGCGGCCCTTCAGGCAACGCCACCCGCAGAGCTTCCCAGCCGACCGCCTCGGGCGCCCCGGCCAGGCCAAGCGGGCGCAGCTGCCTATGCCGGGGCCTCCCAAAGCCAGAGACTCCCCCCTCAGGACCCTCCGCCCGGCCGCCCCCTCCCCGCTCGGAGGTGCGAAGGCCCGGCCGAGGTGCCAACTTCACACCTGGCCGGCATAAAGCGCTCCCCGCGCGGCCCGTCCCACACAAGCGCCCCAGCCATGGCCCGCAGCCCCCGCGACGGCTGCCCCTCTGCGGCCCTCGGCCCCGCTTTCCCGCGGCCCTCCTGCTGCCTGTGCCCGGCCGAGGGCGGCCCGGGCTCCGGCAGCGCCTCGCCGGCCTCCTCGCCGGACTCCTGCGGCTCCCTGGCGGGCTCCCGGGCCTGGCGGGCGGGCGGGCGGGCGCGGCTGGGCGGCGGGCAGCGGCAGAGCGCCAGCCAGCGCGAGAAGCTCCGCATGCGGCGCCTGGCCCAGGCCCTGCACGCGCTGCGCCGCTACCTGCCCGCCTCGGTGGCGCCGGCCGGCCAGAGCCTGACCAAGATCGAGACGCTGCGCCTCGCCATCCGCTACATCGGCCACCTCTCCGAGCTGCTCGGCCAGGAGACGCGCCCGCCGCCCCGCCTGCCCGCGCCGCACCCGCACGCAGAGTCGTGGCGCGCCGCTCCCGCCCCGAGCTGCGGACAAGGCGGCCGTGCCGGCGCCGCGCTGCTCCCGGCCGAGCCGCCCGCCGCGCCCCCGTCGCCCGCCAGCCAGGTAGGTCCCCGAGCCGCCCGGCCCTCTCCGGCCTCCGCCGCCGGGTGGTGGCCGGCCGGAGGCTCACCGGCTCCCGTCTCTCCCCGCAGAGTCTCCCCGACGAGCTGCTCGCCTTCCTGGAGGACTTCTTCCCGCTGGCGGCTCCCGGCCGGGACTGACCGCCGCCGCCCGGCTCCACGCCAGCAGCAGAAGAGGCGCCCCGCGCCCGCCGGACGGACGGAGCGCCGCGCTCTCGGGGCCGACCTAGCAGCCCTCGCCAGCCGAGGGACCCCGCGGCCAAACGGGCGGCCGAGCAGGCGCCGAGCGGATAACGGCTGCCGGCGCCCGAGACCCGCTTCGGCTCCTCCGGGGCCACCAAGCTTCGCGGAGCGGCCCGGCCGGGCGAGGACAGAAAACGGCCCCGGAGCGGCCGGCCCGACGGACGCTTCTCCGCCGATGGGCAGCCGCGCCGGATTCGGACTTTTTGGAGCTCCGGGGGGCCGTGAGGAGCAGGCGCCCCCTGGTGGCGGCTTCTGCCCTGATTCCTCCGGCGCCGTTCTCGGCCCCGAAACTTCTGGACTCTTTGTAATGATTACAGCGTATTTATTATTATGGAGAACGTGCGGTGGAAATGATTGGGTCAAATAAATGCTTTTTAATAATTTAGAGCTGCGTGCAGTGGTTGCTTAGAAAACCTTGGGCCCTCGGGAGCAAAGGGCAGACCCAACGTTCTGCGCCTTTGGCCACAAACAGCCACGCCAAGGCCGGATTAGGTGTGGCTGAGCCCCCGATTGCTAAGGGGGCTGTCGAGTCATTGGTGGGCTGTGAGCACCTTTACCATAGCGGCAGCACAAAAGCTGCTCCCAAGGAGGACCATAAAGTGACCCCGACCCAGCTGGTCTTCTGGGGGAGCTCCCCCTGAGAAGCCCAGAGAGGAAAGGCCAGGCACCTCCAAGCCGCTGCTGCCCCACAGCCACAGCTTACTCTGGGGCAGGCCGAGTAAGAACGCCTTTATTTCAATGACTTGGATTCTGACCCTGCTGGGTTCAAAAACATTTGCCTCTGTTTTAACTGTGTTTTGTGGAACAAGCCATTGGGCCCTTTTTCATACAGAAGCCATTAGTTGCACAACATGCTGCTAAAGGAGCTTGGGGCAAGGTGTGAAAATCCTGATTTGGAGTCACCTCCCCCCCCCCTCAGCCACCCAGCAGCTGCACGAGAGCCACCTGGCTGCATTCTGGGGTGGGGCCGACCCTGGGCAGAATTCGAGGGATGTCTGTCCAAGGGCGTCTCTCAGAGTGACCAGCCCTGACTGTCTGCAGGCCCCCTCAGGTTGCTTTCCCAGGGCTGGCGAGGCAGAGAGGAAGCCAGGCTCCGGCTCTGGGTCAGGTAGGCTGCTGAGACGCCATGGGGGGCAACAGAGGAAGGGGAGGGGGCTGCTGGGGAGCTGCACTGGCTCCAATGATCCGCCTTGCCTCCCTTTTCTCCCTCCCAGGGCCTAGGGAGACAGATTCATCCCCCCCATGGAGCACAACAGGAGCGGGTTGTGGGGAAGGGGCTCGTCTTTCAAAGACCTGGAGAAGTCGGTGGTGCTGCCCGTCTTCTCAGCTGCCGCTCAGGTCCGGGTGGGGCTCACCCTGCTGCTGTGTGTGATCTCGGCCACCTGCAACATGGCCATGCTGTGGAGTGGCTGGACCAGGCCAGCAGCCAAGGGCTCCCACGCACGCCTGCTGCTGCTGCACCTGGCAGTGGCGGACCTGCTAGTGGCCTTGGTGGTAATGCCACTAGACGCTGCCTGGAACATCACGCTGCAGTGGCAGGCCGGGGATGTGGCCTGCCGGCTTCTCATGTTCCTCAAGCTGCTGGCCATGTATGCCTCGGCCTTTGTCACCACTCTGATCAGCTTGGACTGCCAAGCGGCCATCTTGCAGCCCCTGGCCACTGCCCGGGCTTGGCGCAAGAACCAGATCTTGCTCTATGCGGCCTGGCTGATGAGCGCCAGCCTGTCCACTCCTCAGGTACTTGACCCAGCTCATCCTGGCAAGGAAACTCCCCCTCCCTGGGCTAGGGATCCATGGCCTGAGGGGGCTCTGGGGTGTGTGTGAGGGGGGGCTTGCATAACATCAGGCTCTGCTCCAAAACCTTTCTCCCCCCCCCCAATTCCTGCATTGTCCCTGCAGTTGTTCCTGTTCCACACAGTCACCATCAGCTCCCCCCAGAACTTCACCCAGTGCACGACGCACGGCTCCTTTGCCCAGCACTGGCACGAGGTGGCTTACAACATGTTCAGCTTCCTGGGTCTTTTTCTGCTCCCTCTGCTGGTCATGAGCGCTTGCTACACCCGGGTGCTGCTGGAGATTTCAAGACACGTCAGCTCCTGCAACAGCTGTGAGTTAGGCCTGGTGGGGCGGGGAGTGGGCACAGTGGGGCAGCGCAATTGCTTCCCTTTGCCTGGGAGTTAATGAATGCCTTTTAAACTTGAAGCGTTCTTCAACGTCCACATCTTCTGGAGATTTTGCATAGGGCTTTTTTAAACGAGTCTTTGAAAATACAGGTCGTCCCGAATTATGACAGTTCATTTAGTGACCGTTTGAAGTTACAACAAACTGAAAAAAGTGCTTTATGACCATTTTTCATACATGACCATTGCAGCATTCCCATGGTCATGTGATCAAAATTCAGATGTTTGGCATGATACATATGACGGTTGCAGTGTTCACGTCACCCCCTTTTGCAACCTTTTGACAAACAAAATCATTTGGGAAGCCAGATTCACTTTACAACCGTGTTACTAACTTAACAACTGTGGCAAGAAAGGTCGTAAAATGGGACAAAATTCACTTAACAACTGTCTTGCTTAACAACAGAAATTTTGGGCTCAGTTGTGGTCGTAAGTTGAGGACTACCCATGCTGTTATTCATTCAGCCACAGTTTTGTGTGAGGTTCTGGAAAAGCCTAAATCTGAATGGGATCCCAGAGGCCAAATAACGAAAACGAAATAATTCCCCAAAGATGTCAGACTAGTTTCATATCTTTGCCAAAGGAGCTTCATGCTTGACCCAAAGCAAAATTTGGGGTTTTTTTCCTTAACAGAGGAAATTAACAGAAAAGGCATCTATTGGAAAAAAAAGTCTGCCCAATATGTTTATTCTGGACAAACACAAAACAGAAACATTTTAGGAAAAGCTGCACCAAAATCTGCATTATGCAATGAATGTACCAGACCCATGAACTCCGGGCAAAAGGAGAAGCTGAAGTGGTGCTACAGGGCCCTTGGGCCTCCAGGCCCCCCAGGCTGACCAGGCTGACCAGGCTGCCCTCTTTGTTTCAGGGTCTGCCCAAGAGATGCCCCTGCGCCGTTCACGCAATCCCATCCCGAGGGCACGTCTCCGCCTGCTGCACCTCAGCCTGGCCATCGTCGGCTCCTTCGTGCTCTGCTGGACCCCTTACTATTTGCTGGGCCTGTGGTACTGGTTCTGGCCAGCGGACATGGAAGGGACAGTGAGCCCCTCACTGGCACACATCCTCTTCCTCTTTGGTTTGCTAAATGCCTGCCTGGACCCCATCACCTACCGCCTCTTTGCTGGGGGCTGGCAGGGCGAGTGCTGCAGGGCAGCCGGGCGAGGGAAACAGCCGCCCTCCCCCGTCACCGGCTCCTTCCAGGGCTCTGTGTCTTCTGCTCGCCTCCAGAGAGAGGGCAGGCTGCTCCTCTCTGACACAGCAGAGGTGGCCCTGGGCCCGGGCTCAAGGGCCCTCCCGAGGGCATCTGCGTGTCCAACTGGCAGCCCTTCCAGCCAGTTGAGTAGGAAGGCTGCGAGGCCAAGCCTCCTTCAGACCATGGAGCTGCCGGCTGCCTTGCCTGGGCCAGAGGAGGAAGGGGCTCCGGCAGGGACACCGCTGCAGGCCCCCTGGTCTGGGGAGGAGCCTGTGTGGCCTTGAGTTAGGCTCCTTCTGAGGTAGCTGGGAGGGGGCTTTCCATGAAAGACACATCCAGCTGTTCCCGCCTGCTGCTTAAGCCATAATGAGCTTCTGGCACATTCTGTCCAGGCTTGCTTTTATGGTGCTGTGGCTTGTTCAAGAAATGATGGCTCAACACTCTCTCAGCCTCTTGCTCTCCTTGTGAAGCCTGGACTGAAGAGCTTCCCAACAGCAGTAATAAGGAGTGGGGGTCTCTGCCCAGCCCCGTTTTCTCTCCCCTAGAAAGCTCAAGTCGGCTTTTCTGAGGGGCTGAGTCTCCTCTCTGGGAGGGAAGGGGGCACAGGTCAAAGAGTTTTGCTGTTCTTTGGCAGGAGGCAAGTGGGCAGCCATGCTCCCCTCTCGATCCTGGGCTTCCTGGGCATCGGCTGAGCCAGGAGGCTTTGGAGTGGTGACACCGACTTGCACCCTGATGGGGGTTGGTTGGCTGACCAGCTTCTGCCCCGGGGGATTCTCCCGGTTTTCCCCACAACAAACTGGTGAGCACAACTGGCACAGCATCTCCCAGGGCTTTCCAGGGACTTCAACCCAGGCAGCTTCAGTGGAAAAAGACATCCTGGAAAGGTGCCCAAAGAGGCAGTTTGGAGAGCAGCCCCTCCAAGCAGCCACAGTGGAGGTCCCTCAAGGAGGCAGCTGGGGACTCTGGGTGTCAGAGTGCAGTGCTGCCCCCAGTGGCCCCCAGGAGAAAATATCACGAGCTCCTGGTGGTGCCTAGAGGAAGCAGGCTCTGCCCCCAAGGTCTGGGGAGGTGGGGGCTTCAAATGGGTGAGGTATTGCCTGGAGGCTGGGCAGGAAAAGACCAGGGCCCTGTGGCTCTGGGGGGGGGAGAGGACCCTGGCAGATTGCCTGTCACTGGAAAACAGCAAGGAAAGTGACAGGGCTGCCTCTGGCTGCCTCCACATTGGGACTGAGAGCAGCACCAGCGGTCCTGCAAAGAGGAAGCATCCCCTGCTGGGAGCAGATCCGGGCTGCTCTGTAAGGCAGACCCAGGCAAGAAAGCCAGTCTCTCATTGCAGCAGCCACAGGGACGGTCCCTGCGTGGCTGAATGGGCTTCTGCCTCCCTCCCTCCCTCCCTCCCTCCCTCCCTGCAGAGAGGTTCCCTCAAGGTAATTCCTTGGGGGAATGGGACAACACAGCCCACTCGCCGTGGGACAATTCCCTGCGGGACAATTTAATAATTCTATTTAATTATTTAAAATGAATAAAAATTATTTTAATGTTTGCCATTCACATTTCATTCTCTCCCTCCTTTTGCATCCTTTCCTTAATGATTTTATTTCATCATTGCTTCAATATTAATGTAACTCTCATCCCACAGCAAGAGTTGTCCTGTGGCGAGTTGGCCATAGACCCATTTCTTGACTGGGCTCAGGCCCTCTTTCCTGACCACTGACCATCAAGCCCCTCCCCCCACCATCCCCAGCTCCACAGTCTTGGGGAGCAAGCCAACTGCCCTCACCCCCAAGGCCTTTTTGGCAGAATTGGCGCCAAACTGGCATTTGGAGAAGCCGGGGAGAGAGGGCAGCAGGGCCTGAGGCTGCCAGGGGTCTCCCACCATCCCAGAGTGATGTAGGGGGCTGGGATGAGGTCACACGCAGGAGCAGAGCCAATAGTTTTCGGCCTGTTTTGGGATGTTTGCAGGGTCTGAAGGAGGGGAGTGGGAGCAGAGGCATCTGGGGCAAAGCGATTCCTCTTCCCTCATTTGACACTCAGATTCTTCAATGCTTTTTCTCAATACCTCAATGTGAGTTCCTTTTTGTATTTTGTGAAAATGTTAAGGGGAAAAAAGTTCTCAGCTCTGTGCCAGAAACAAGAAAGGAAGGAAGGAAGGAAGGAAGGAAGGAAGGAAGGAAGGAAGGAAGAAAAAAGAAAAAAGAAAGAAAGAAAGAAAGAAAGAAAGAAGAAAGAAAGAAAGAAAGAGAAAGAAAGAAAGAAAGAAAGAAAGAAAGAAAGAAAGAAAGAAAGAAAGAGGGAGGGAGGGAGGGAGGCAGGGAGGGAGGGAGGGAGGGAGGGAGGGAGGGAAGGAATAGCAACTTACTGCATGTGGTTGCATGCAGTTAGGGGCTGCATGTGGCCCACAGGTGCTGCTTGCCCATCCCTGCCCTGAGCAGATTGGAGCCTCCCAGGGTGGGGCAACATGAAGAGGGCCTTGCCACGCAGATGCCAAGCAGATGCTCCACTCCACGCAAGCAGGGGAAAAGAAAAAGTGTTCCTGCAATGCCAACCAGAAAGCGAGCCACCAAAGATCACGATCGGCAGCCTAGCCACTCCAGATGAGGCTCTGTCTTTCCTGGAGCCCAAACACTGCTTGGCTCAGGGCAATGGGGCACCCAGCTCGGCTTTTTCACTGGGGTGGGTGAGGAGGCAGAGTGACCCAGAGCCAGCATGCACAAAACCAGGTTAGAACCCTAGAGATGAAGGGTGCTTGGAGGTCATCACGGCCAACTCCCCGTTCATCTGGAAGAGACAAAAATGTGCTGCTTCCATCTCTCTTAAAACCCAATAGTCCAGCATGTCATGGCCCCGTTGGAGCCCGGGTCCAAGCGGGTGGACAAGACGAAGCCATGTCTGATGGAGGAGGATATGCAGCCTCACTGGCCCTGGACGAACGACCGGAGGAGCAGGACAAGACAGTCCCAGGTCCCTCAGGCCTTGGAAGGGTTGCCAGCGATGGAGAGAGGGCGCAGGACAACCGAGCAAGGGGGGAGGAGAGGAAAAGAGTAGGCTGTAGAGCAGAGGAGTGACGGAGCTCTGGAGAACAATTGCCTCCCCCACCCTCCAGCCCAGACTCTCCAGAATGGAGAATGGAGAGGAGGCGGGATCAGTGCAGGGCAAACACAGAGGGGGGTGCCCCACCCCTTGTTACAAGGCTCACCCGGGGAATAGGATTCAAGGGGGGCGCTTGTTGGGAACAAGCATTGCCTTTTTCCAGCCACACTTGCAGTTACTGATATCTTGCCACTTTGCCTAGCCTTGTTTTGCCTGGGATGCCTAGCTTGATTGTGGGCAAGTCGTCAGCGACACAGTTCTGCTTTGGGTTGTGCTGCAGCCCCAGCGACCCCTCCCTGTGAGAAAGACTCCCTGAACTCTGGCTGCTCTTCTGGACTACTGGAGGTGTGGGAGTTTGGAGCATTGCTCTTGGACTTACAATGAACTGTGGGAACTTTGGGGGGGAAATTTGGAGCAATAAAAGGGAGTTAAGCCTTCACTCTGGCTGTGTTGCTTTTGTGCCCAGCCCTGGGTCATCACACAGCATGTCCCTCCCCCGGTTCCTCCTTCTTGTGTTGTCGTCCTGCCATTAAATGAATTGAAGCCGCAGGTGAGAAGAGAGTCGGCTCTTGCCTAAGCGGTCAGGAGTGTTTGGCACCCGCCAAGAGCTGGGAAAGGAAAGGTCATTAGGGAGTGCCATGAGATAAGTGTGCCTCTTCCTGGCATCAAGTCAAGACTGGCCTAATCCAGATGCGGGCACGGAATCTAGCAGGAGGAAAAGCAACCCTGCTTTCAGTATTTAGAGTGCCAGTTTGGTGTTAAGTTAAGGCACTAGGTTAGAAACCAGGAAACTCTGAATTCTAGTCCTGCCTTAGGCATGAAAGTTGACTGTATGACTTTGTACCAGTCCTTGTCCCTCAGCCAGCCCACCTCTCAGGGTTGTTGTTGTGGGAAAAATAGGAGGAGGAAAGAAGAATTAGGTATGTTTGCTGCCTTGAGTTACTTATAAAGTAAAAGAGGTGTCAGCGTTCCAGAAACAACCCCTCTTCAGTTAAAAACTCTAAAGCAAGCATTTCTCAAAGTTGTTTTTAATTGAGTAGGTAAACTGCCACATCTGGGATAACCCGAATATGAGAGTTCCAGGTTTTCCCTCAGTAAATGAAAACCCCCAAAACCATCCCCTCAATCATTACTCGATCACATGCTCCAATCGCCATGCGTCCCATCTCAAGACAGCACTCTGACCACTCCTTCTCCAGATGCAGGATCATCCTGACCTTGGCCAAAAGGAAGAATGCTATTTTGTCTAAAACCAATCCCTCTATGAAAATCCCCCCTCCTATTTTTCCACACAGGAGAAGGTGGCAGCATGGAAGCTTCCAGACTAAAGCTGACAAGAGGTGGGGTACAAATCAAATCAATAAATATCAGATATCAAATAACAGGGCTTAACACAACAGCAAAAGACCAAATACTCAGGAATTCACTTGACAAAGAATAAGGAGGATTTGTTTTAAAATAATTACAGAACTGAAAAGATGTGACAGCGGATGGAAAAAATATATTTGTTTTGGTTAGGAAAACCAAAAACAAACACTTTAAAACAAACACTTTTCCAATACTTATTTTTTTTCTTCCAAAGAAGTGTGATATATATATTAAACGGGGTACTATGTGACTGGCATAAACACATAAAGTATCTAGGGTGAAATTCAAGAGCTGCAGAATTTGGAACAGCGAGGTGCCCTGGCAGTGCCAAACGTCAAGCTGGACGACCATGGATTGAGAGTGGATTGTGTCTCCTCACATTTTTGACGCTCTACGCGTGCGCGGAAGGCCCTGCGCATGCACAGAGGTGGTGCGTGTGTGTGAAGTGTGCGCGCGCACACTCACATTTGCAAACCAGTAGCTAAGGTAAGTGAATACCACCCCTGGTGGTGACCAAAATTGGATGTAGTATTCTAGATGTGGTCTTACTAAGGCTTTAAAGAGTGGTATTAGGACCTCCCTTGATCTTGAGTGTATCTCTCTGTTAATGCAATTTAGGATTGTGTTCGCCTTTTTGGCTGCTGCTGCACACTGCTGGCTCATATTTAATTGGTTGTCCACTAAGACTCCAAGATCCTTCTCACAGTCACTGCCATCAAGCCTGGTTTCACCCAGTCTATATATGTACTTTTGGCTTTTCTTGCCTAAGTGTAGGATTTTATTTTTTTCTACATTGAATTTCATTTTGTTAGATAGGGCCCAGTGT